TCATGGGACAAACTAATGCTAAATATTGAGCATGCAATAAAATGCTTTTTCGAATGTGGCGAAAATCTCGCTCACTTCTGTTTACGGATTCTAACAAAATGGCTGCCATTTTAAATGGTAGATCACGAATTAAACTGATAAGTGGTAATAAAACTGGTATGTGGTAAATATTTCGCTCTCTTCTGTTTACGGATTCTAACAAAATGGCTGCCATTTTAAATTACCGGCAGATCACGAATTAAACTGATAAGTAGTAATAAAACTGGTATGTGGTAAATATCTCGCTCTCTTCTGTTTATGGATTCAAACAAAATGGCTGCCATTTTGAATCAGAACATGGATCAAACTGATATGCATTAGAAATCCACCGTTAGAAATGTCAATATCAATTTTGAAAGAATTCGACCCAAAAAATAGATTTTTAATGTTTTTTTAGGACTAAAATGATTGCCAGCTGATCAAAGTTCAACAAGGCAAAAACTAATCCATGCGCATATGTAGAGACTTACAACTTGTTTTTTGCTAATTTCGTTTTGTTGAGTTTTCATTCATGGCTTTGTTAACAACCTGAAACCATGTAGCAGGTAGTGATTTCTTTTAAAAAAAATAATATTGATATTTCTAAAATACAGAAAAGTAATAAATAATTCAATGCTCAATAAATTTGTTAATTTTTTTGAGAACCAAAGTCAACATTAATTATTTTTCAGAAATTAAACTTCTTAATCATCAGAAGTTCAAATTTCCGAGAATCATAATCGATTTTGACTCTGCAGACTTTGATTGGCAGATTTTTATTGACTAGGATCTGTGGTAGTTAACAAGAGAATTTACAACACATAACATCAAATATACTTATTAATCAATAATTAAAATTAGATTTAATTGAGAAGAGAATTATCCCAGTTTTTGCATAAATTAATTAGAACTTGATGATTCAGTTTCTATATAAGGGATCTATGATAAGAAACTGCTAACAAATCGGTTTGAACAGTGAAGCCTGTAAAAATCGAAAATGTCTAGTCAGTGTACGAGTTGACAATTTTAATCCATGTGCCAGTTGTCACGTACGGAACATTATTTGCTAGCAATGTCTGACGCAATTATTACAGAAATCCCAATCTTTCTTCTTGTTTATCACGGTCGTAAAACGTCCACCAAAAGTTACCTGCATTGCATGTGTTCCATGCTATAATCTTTATTACGACTGGTTTATCGCAGTCAAGCAGTTGATTGTATCGCTATATTTCGTATTTACCCATAATGCAGTATGGTAGCCTGACAAGTAATGATTTGCATTTTGAAATTACATTATTTTGCCCACATTCAGACTGCTGATTTTTTAGCTTACGTAGACAATTTCAGTTTTTCATGAAACGGTCTGAAAATGTTATTATGCTACAAGACGTCCAAGACAATAAGTTGAATTGTAAATGCTGTTATATACATTTATCTTAATTCAGCGTTTTCAAAACAAAGCTAATTTCAAAATTAAGCAATATGTGAGCAATATGTGAGTTCTCAATGTAATGATAGAGTTCAACCACCGAATCCCTATGTACACTCACTGGTCTGGAAAACACACATGAATAATCGAATGGGTTTTAGTATTAAATGCAACTTGAGCCTATATATAATAAACACAAAGGTGATGACTACAGATATATCACTTCAATTTCAGCACACCTGACGGGACAGATGACTCATCTACTGCCATTAAAATTGCATTACAGGTAGAACTCAAATTGCCAATTTTGTTACAAATGAAACATCTCGTTTTTCAAAGCAGTTTCTCTCTCATTCAATATAACAAATTCTAGCGTGGTCAATAAACAAAACTATAATTCATAGACTCAAGATTCATAGATCCAAAGTTTGTCTCGGGGTGTTCCAGATTAGAAAGAAATGTACCATGCCACTAAAAGTGGAAATTGGTAAATACTGTAGAATACTTTATTTTCGCTTGGAATTTATTTTCGCTATTTTCGTTGAAGGGATGATTCCGTGAAAATAAAATCCAGCAAATATACTTTTTTTCCTATATTTCACATTAAACTCATCAAAAATCAGTGAAAATAAATTCCAAGCAAAAACGCCAAAAAGCCTTTTCAGCGAAAATTAATTCCAGCGAAAATAAAGTATTCCACAGTATATCGATGGTTGCTTCATAATTTCACATAGAAATTAAAGAAATAATTTTTTTTTTCCCTCGAAACTTTTCATCTATGCACATCTAATATCCTACAGGCAGACATATTTATTGGATTAAAGTTACTTTGGTGTTGCAGGGATATTCACAAAATTGTCAATTCACTGGCTTGTTAAGGAAGCCATAGATTCTTTTATTAACTTGTATATTCACTGGGTTTTAATATAAGTACATTTACCAATCAACAAAACACACAAAAATACCAGCAAATAGCCCTTGACTAAAAATTTCTGTTTCGTAAAAAATTTCTTAAGCACACCAGTGAAATATTTACTGCTACAAATTTACATACCCGATATGTTGACCTAAGCTACTACTTTATAAATTAAAAAAAAAAAATTCTCTGGGGGGAAAAAGTACAGTACTTATGCAATGAAATAATCCACTTAATAAATGCACAATTGAATTAATACGCACCGATAATTTTGAATAATGAAACTCATTGATAATTCAAACTCATTTGCATAGCTCATTACTTTCTACTCATTAATTAAATTCTGTTTTAATAGTAAACAACCAAAATATTTTTATTTTACGCCAAACATATATCACAAAAACAACATCATCTTTGAGTCATCAATTCGATGACTGAAAACCCACATGGTCAATGACCTCCTCCACACCTGCATAAAAACACATCACCAGTGTAAAGAATAACAAGAAGATCTAAAATACAAGATTACTCAGATAACATCGTACATCCTTTAGTAATAAAATAGACATTTATTGTCCATCCTTATTTGTTAAGTAAAAATAACAATAAAGTGATTCAAAGAGGTTTATTTTGGTGAACTTGCACATAGAAAATTAAATGACGATGGACATGAATTATGCCATGTATGCTCAAATTATATAGTATAGTATAATATATTTTATTTGACTCAAATTAATGAATTGGAAATACATTAACCATGGTCAATAATCATACACAAAAAACACAATATATATTTTTAATTGTTTGGCAGGTCAACACATACAAAGAAAGAAACGGTATCAAGGTTTAACTATATAATTCCGGGGATTAATTGAACATACTAAAAAAGTCTATTAGTCAAAGTCATGACCAGATAAAAATTCACAATCATGC